GAAGCGGGTGCCGGGCAGGGGCTGATGCCTGAGCAGGGAGGGTGGCCAGCAGAGCACTCTAAGTGAGCGGGCCTCCTCACACCGCTGCAGCCTTCCTGGCCTCCACAATCACACCGGGCTGCGTACGGTGTCGGCATCAGGGGAGGCCGGGTCCAGGCTTTACCCTCTGTGAGCTTGTTTCGCAACTTCTCTGTAAAATGATTTCATAACCGCACGAAACGAGGAGAGAGGGGAGGACCCCTCCTCTGTCCTACTCTGGGGTGGGGAGAGGCGGGGCTGCTCAGCCAAAGCCTCTCTCTCTGTGCACGCCTCTATAATTCTTCCTCATTAGAAATTAAATACATGCCAAGTCAATTATTAATTGACAAGCTGGATAAACACCCTAAGTGTTAACTGGTCCTTCCAGGGCTCTTTGAGGCTCTCTCAGCTCCTCTAGGACCTTTGGAATTTTGTGTTGGCTTCAGCAAGTCACTGGTTAGACTGACTTAATGGGGAGACTGTGCCTGGTTGGTGGGGAGGGAAGGGAGTGCTGTCACAGGACACCTGGCCCCTGCAGTGAGGTCCTACAGGGGCCAGGTGGATGGGGCGGTAAAGGGACACTGCAGTGCGTGACCGGATGGGAGCTCTGAAAGGTCACAGAGCACCAGAGGTTCTGCTGCCTGAGGAGGCGGGTCTACTCTAAGCCAAGCAGGAGCACCTTGCATTAATGATCACTGGTTCCCCGGGGGTCGGGGGGTAGATCACAAGACGGTTTCTTCTGCCTGCATTAGCACTAAATGCTCGGGCATCTTGTGTCACTAGACGCATTGTGTGAACTTGATGCTGACAGACTCGGGCGGCGTGGAGCCTCACCCTGGAGACACGTCCCTGAGCACCCGGGCAAGGGCTGCAGATGCTCACGGAGGGAGGGCAGGGAGGTGTTCCAAGGGCACCACAGAGCCGTGCTCGCTGGGCTCGGGCACCAGGAGGAAGGGCAGCCGGGCCGCATGGCAGGGACCTTGAGGGCACACGGGGCCCTTGGGTTTGGTGCCCAAGGCTCCATCATCAGTGGCTTCTAAGGAAGTGAGACACTGACGTGTGTCACAGGACACAGTGTAAATGCATTAATTGCTCGTTTCCTGTCCGTCACATGCCGCACACATGTCTCACCACAGCAGAGGATGGATTAACCATTCTCACTGTGACCACATGCTTGAAAGACAGTAAAGGCCTATTACTTGTCTCCTGTTGAGACTCTATGTTTCTAACCGTTTCACCACCACGTCTTAATTCAGAAGCCACAGTATGTTGCCTCTGAAATAAAATCCATTTTCTTTCATCTCAACATTTCCAGTTATGAGCTCTTTGCTACAGCATCCAATCACTTCAGAAAGAAAGAACGCTTGGCTACCTGTACTTCTAACCATGTTTTTAATTGAAAGAAAAATCATAACTAATGGACCATGTTGCAAAGAAAACTAGAAACTGCAGCTGTCTGTTAAAGTAGGGTACTGGTAGGAAGCCAACCCATATAAAATTAGAATCTTACTAGTGAAAAAAAAGCCTCCTCTGATGTACATGGAGTCGATTAGGTTTAAATTATGAACCCGTGCACATTTAATATATGGATAATTTGGGCACATTACATCACTCACCACATTTAGACTGCCTCCGCTGTAGCCATGGCAACCCTTATATAAAACATAGCTGAGTTGGTAATTTCAGTCCAAATTAAATGAAAATAAGGCTAACCCTATTATTGTACTTAACAATTTTCTAAATAGCTTCATCTGAGAGGGCCCTTGCTTGTATAGTCTGTCTTTTAAAAATAGATTATTGGAAAATTACGTGCGTGTGCATGCTGTGCCCCCCAGCCACCCCCACTGCCCAACCCCGCTGCTGTCAGCCTCGGGCTTGTGCGGATGGCACGTCGACCTGCAGGCGACGCAAAGCTGTTCTTGCCATTTGGGGATTGGTAACTCTTTCAAATATGCCAACTGGGGCCATTACACATTTCGGAGGCTGGCCCTCTAAAACTACTGTAAAGTAACAGCGTCTTTAAGGTAAGCCATATTGTACATTAGCATACATCCTAACAGCGTCCTTCAACTGATTCTGTTTTAAACTGTAAATAGGCTCTCGTGTGTTTCCTTAGTTATTTAGGAAAACCTTCTTTTTCTTTTCCGTCTCCACAGAAGAGTAACTGAAAGATGAGAGTTCCATTTAAAAGTGGCCCTGTGGCCATGTCAAGAAAGCTCTTTCTGTAATTATGATAAACACTGGATGTCACCCCTAAGACTCCGTTTGCTGTGGCACATGCACGGGACCTCCTTGCAGCTGGCCCGCAGCCCCGCCGGCAGCCGCAGGTTCAGGGCTACGGGGCCCGGGCCAAGGAGAAGCCGGAGCAGAGGGGCTCCTGGCAGTGTGGGCTCAGGCCTGGACGGTGCCGGCGGGACTCTGGTGCCGACAAGCTCTGCTCACTGTGTGTGCTCGGCTTCTTCCTCCATAGAGCTTAGGTGGCACCGATGAGGACCCACTGGCCCCTGTGCCGAGCCAGCAGCACAGCACAGGTCGCCCCAAGGGTGTAATTAATTACAGCCACAAGCCCGTAGCGGTGGCTGTGGAGAGACAGTGCACTGAGCCGACGGGCGGTCTAGGAAGCCAGACCACCAGGCACCCGGGGCCAAATTCCCACCAAGAACTTCCCAACAACTGCCCATTTTATTTTTTCCCCAGTTTGTCCCCAGATGGTCAGCCTGGCAAATACCGAGATGGATTCCTGAGAGCCGGGACATGCCAACCCTCTTGGATCCAGACACAGAGAGGGTGGGCCCGTTTCTCCGGCTGGCACACCAACATCCTGTGTGCGACAACCACCGTCAACTGCTGCCTGAGGCTGCAGGTGTCAGCGGCCCAAGCATCAGTCAGGACACAACCTCAGCCCACTGGCCGCCCCCCCTGCCCCCGTGACAGCTTCCTGGGTCTGATACTGAAGCGTCACAGCTTCCTGGGTCTGATACTGAAGCGTTGGGTGGGGGCACGGCTGGGGGAAGTGCACATGCACTGGGCAGGGAGGAGGGGCGGGCACTTGAGAAACCAGTGGAATAAGAAAACAAGTGGGCAAAACTAAGCCAAACAGCATCCTCTCTCTCCTGATCGCTGTTTTTAACAAAAAAAAAAATTAAAAGAAGAGGCCTTTGTTCACTCAGCGCCTTTGTTCACTCAGCGGCGAACCACGCTGAGTGTGAGTAGCACCCATGTCTGCTGGGCTGCGCTTCATTTGGACGGGCGCCTCCGTTTCCCGTCTGGACGTCCACACCTCGAAGCTTCCTTTCTTACATGAATTAAATTGGTTCATCAAAAGCTGTCCTGATCATGGATTCTAGAATCCTTGTCCAATACACCTCACTTTTTTTCTCTCTCCCAACCTGACACCGTACCAGCAAGGTGATGAGTCAATGCCCATTACCTCTAAATCTCGCATAAATAAAGCCTTTACAATTAATCACAAAATTTCTGAGAATCCATCACCATACATTTTGTATTGCAATGATTTTCTCAAAACCAAAATGATGTCATTTTAAAGCTAGGAGAGCACCGTACCACTGAGTCTCTTACAGTGATGGACAGAAAATAGGCCCTCAATCGAGGTTTGACGCATCAGCTCAGAAGTTCACTCGGTACAGCCCCCTTCCTCATGTCAACAGGAAACGATTTGCCCAAGGTCACAGGACTGTTCGTGGCAGAAGATGGCACCGAATCTAGCACTCAGAATGTGTTTCCCTAACTCTGATGTTACCGAAAGTGAGACAGACAATACTATCAACACATTCTTGAGCATTTGAAGTTAAACTTGTATAGCATAAAACAAATGGGTAAATTTGTTCAATCCGAAAGTGTTTCGAGATGAGTCAAACAGAAAACAAAGATCATAGAGGCTGGGGTTATTTTTCCCGTATTTGAAGTAGCATTTAACATCAGCCTAGTAAAGCTGATGTAAGGAAAGAAATCATTAATAAGAATGTTCTGCTCTGAGTCTTGAGTCTTGGAAAATAGGACAAAAACCAGTTACAATAACTGGTTTAAAAGACGTGGTCTAGTTAGGACACGTTTCATGCTCATCTTTTTATTCTTTAGCCTAGGCCCTGGAATGCAAGCTGATACCTATACAGATGTTCACAGTCACACACTTCACACTCTACCAGTGTGTAAGTGACCAGAGTGCTCTGTATACCATCTTAATTTGAACGTACACATACTCACTTAGGCTCACAGTTTAACATCTGAAATAGATAACAGATGCAGTTTTTAAAACCCTAAGAAATTATACACCAAAACAAAAAACCAATTCGACCCATAGAAATGACATACTGCGAGGTATGTGTTAAGATCTGAAATGTGCATCCTCTGATTTGCCCTTTTCAAACCCACCTACAGCTAATCCACTTTGAAACCAACACTGTGAACCTGAATTGTGACTGATCAGATCTGCTTTCCCTGTGTCTCCCCAGCACACACCCTGGAGAGCTGACCGTCAGGCTGAAGGACTCTATACGAATGCCGGGTTGGTATTTACGGGTCGCCTGTGACCCTCTGAGGTGCCGCATCTTTGGGGAGGAAAATAAATATGCGACCATGTATCTGAAGTATAGTAGACACATGATTGGTAACGTGACGTTTTAAACCACCACAGTACAAAAATACTTCTTCGATTCAGCCGCAGAACAAATTCAACACTAACTCAGCTCGCTTAGCCACAGTCTTCTGGGTTGCTTTAAAAAAGTCCAAGGTGAGGGCACGGCGGGTTCCTGTGCCCAGGCCCCAGACAACGTGTCTAGCTCGAAATACCAGCACAAAGACAACTCAGACACTCTGAAGTCAGTCGTGATGAGGATGACTTTTTAGCAGCCCAAACAGCAAGGCAGAGGAAGGTACTCACGTTTGCCAGTCAAGTCCCAAGGCAGCAACTGCACAGAGCCTGCAGAAAGGAGACGGGGACACCCTCGTTCCCCAGCACTCACCATATGGACGGCGCCTCCGTGCCGCTGATCTCTAGGAAGTCGTACCCTTCCTCCAGCTGGAAGTCCGTGAAGACGAGCGCGATGGTGTCCCCGGGCTCAGCGATGACGGTCCAGGTGCAGTCGGCGTGGTTCTCGTACTCCGAGGGGAAGCGCGGGCTGGAGATGGTGCTGCTCGTCCCCCGCAGGGTCCCCCCGCAGGCGCCCTCAGCTGGTGGGGACAGAGGCAGGAGGAAAGGCTCTCTCAGGACAGCGTCACACACGAGCACCCCTACAGGCTGCCCCTCTGCATCCGAGACACGCATTTCCTGGACCTGAACCTGGGGCACCCAGCATGGCACAGGCTTTCTTCTGGGGTGTGAATTCAGTTCTATCGAAAAGCTCACAGAAGCCTGACAATGACATCACATTCTTAAATGCACTGCCCTTAAAAAAGAGTGTTATCGTGGCTTTTCTAAAATCTGGAATGTGTGGTTGCCATACACCTGACATTCACAGATAGCTTAACAACATTTTCAAAAGATTTTTCTCTGAATCCTGGAAGACAGATAAGTCAAAAACATTTTGAGACTTAGAAGTATGTAGCTACCTTCCATTAACTGGTATCTGGCTTTGAAAATAGAGTACTGCTAAAAGAAGTAGACACAGTTCCTTACTTCTATACGGTATGGAATTTGTTTCTGGTGAGCTCTTGTTCCCTATCATAACAGAGACACACTGGTGCATAAAAATGTTGAGTAGGAGATGCTTGCATGAAAAGTTAAAATGGAGTGTCTTGGGAAGTACCAAGTGTGCTTGAAAGGTTGAATGAAATGGATGAATTTAAGTGACACTTGAGAGCACATACATGCTTTATAATTCAGCTTGTTGGCTAGCAGACCCCCTGCCGACGTATCTGAGGAGGAGAAGCTGATATCAGATCATGCTGGAGTTTTGGAATAGTAGCCTATGCACTGAAGCATTATGATTTAAACAACTTTCAAATGGGTGTATTTATGTACAAAATATAATGGGAAATAGGGTAAGAGTGAATCAAGTAAGAAGCAGGAGCTGCTCTTCTGGGAAGATGCCTGGGCAGTGCTGACCAAAGGCAGGTGACATTGCAGCTGCATGACAGGGGTTTGCTGGGCAGGTGTCACAGCCCCAGCGCGCCTGGCGCCCGTCCTGGGCCTCCACCCCATAGTGGTGGGACGGCGGAGGCTCCGGTGACCTGCAGGGGGTGTCCACAGAGCGGGTGGCATGGCTTCCTGGCATGGGAATGCCAGGAAGTGGATTGGTGGGATATTTTAGTGTTTTAACAGCTGGCAGAACTGTGCAGGTGCCCCTGGCTGGCATCAGTACTGACTCAGAGACCCTGCCATTCAAAATGAGGGTGGCTGAAACAAGTAACCTCCCTTGCCACTTCCACGTCTCATTTTTGATGCAATGAGCTTAGACATTTTAAATGTCCAGAAGCTTAGATGCTTAGCATCTAGATTTTCGTAGGTCCTCAGTTGACGACTAATTTCCCAAAATCTCAAAATGTAAATCTCACCATCACCCACCAATTTTATTTACCTCTGTAGCCCACCATATATATATATATATATATATATATATATATATATATTGGGCAGTTTGAAATATATATATATATATTAAACTGCCCAATAAAAATACATTGACAAATACTGAACTCCACTAGAGAAACTGCCATTATCTCAGAGAAGCCGGAGCATGAAGCTGCCATTCGTTCGTCTACAGCCTTGGAGGGGCATGGAGCCCACGGCGGCCGGGGTGTGCCACTGCCTGCGGGCTCTGCCGAGGCTTGGCGTGCACTCATCACCCCGTGCCTGCTGCTACTTGCAATGGTAACACTCGCAGAGCAGGAGAAGTAGCAACCACAGTTCAGAGTTTTATAGGAAAGAATCTCTCAATCTAAGGGCTCCAGGAAGCGTACGGTGGCACCATATGATGTATCCCTGATTTGTCATTCCAGCACCAATTTCCAAGGGAAAAATATGAAAATATGAGATACCCACAATCACAAAATATTCACTCATATCTTACATTCACTCACCCACCTAGGAAATGTCATGAAGACAGACGTGATTTTTCAAGGAGCTACCGACATCTCAGTAGCACAGGCATCTCCCGGAATAAAGAGCAACAGGGAGAAAGCAAGTTCCTTCTTAAAACTGTCACTGAGAGAACGCAGGGCGCATGGCTTCTCAGCCTGGCCGCCGCTGACACCCACGGTCATTCCACGCTCTGTTCTGGGGAGGTGTCCTGCATTGTAGGGAGCCCAGCAGTGTCCTAGCTTTTGCCCATTAATGGCCAAAAATATCCCCCAACTGGGACAATCAAAAATCTCTCCGGCATTGCCAAGAATTCTTTGAGAGACCAAATTGTCCCTGGTTGAGAGCCGTTTACTTAGATAAACTTAATTAGCGCTTCCCAGTCTTTTCCGTGGTATTGTATACAGCCTTTTAAAGAGGAGACAAAGCCATATCAAAGAGCTGTGTATCCTCTTTGAGTCAAGATTAATAATTATTACATACTTGGCTTATTTTAGTGGATTAAAACATAGGGAGAACATACATGGTGTTTTGCCCTAAACACTCTGTGTATGTATAATAATTTAAAAGAATTAGAGTTACTGCAGTAGAATTTGAAAATGGTCTCATTTTTGGTACACACTGCAATTTTTTCCATAATGAATAAGCCTAGGTAAATGAACTTAGTTAGGAAACAGCTGTTTAATTTTCTAAACCAAAACATTTCACCTCTTTAGGAAAACCTAAAAATCAGTAAGGATATAATAGATTTACTGTTGTTTTTATTTAGCATAGCTCTAACCTTAGCATTAGTATTTTGATGGAAAATATGTATGACCGATGTAACAAATCATTTTATATGGCAAATTATATTTTAAAATACAGTAAGTTTACAATTTCTGAGATATGTTTTCACAAGGCAGGCTTCATCCATTCTAAATAACTAGTAATAAAGGAAACACATAATAATTAAACAGTTTAACACTTTATCTCTAATTATGAATAAAATAACTAAAAACAAATGCTTTATTTGAAATTTACAAATAGGAGTTTCAAAATGAAAGATCATTAGTCAGATTTCAAAAATTTTGGCCACAGCCCTTTAGAACCATGCCTTACACTGTTATTACCTGTGAGCACATGTGCAACTACACACGTACCAGCACGCAAACAACACTACTTCAGTCCGGCCTTATCCTTTCTCTGTGATTTGTTCCACTCAAATCAGCCAATCTGGTCCATTTGAAATTTAACTTGAATCCTAAAATTGTCTGTTCAAAACTTTTTAACTTCCCACAATACGACTCAGAATAAAATCAAACCAGGACCGTGATATGCCCCCTTCCCCCACAGTCCTCATATCCCTTCCCTCACTTGGGCCCTTGGCTTTCCACCCCACCTTTTCCTCACTCCACACCTGCCCCAGGCCTGCCTGACAGAGTGCCCCCCGTGGCCCCCACAGCCCCTCCCTGGGGCCACCTTCTCCAGCCACCACGCAGGAACCAGCATCCTCTCCTGGCCACTCCCCGTCTCCTCATCGGCGCCTCCTGGCACCTGGCCAAGCACGACGCATGGGGCCGTAAGCTGTACGCGCTTGTCGGTGCCCTGTTCCTGGGTTAAATGAAATGCTGCTGCCTGGAACTCAGTAAACTTGACTTCCTTTTTTCTCTTCTTCTTCTTAGGGGAATGACGCAGGCATTTCCTACAGCTACATCTGTGCCCACTGGCCTCCACTCTGTTACCTTTAATATAAGTGATGGGACTGTAACAAAATACATTTCTGGGCCATAGGTGACATTAAACCATACCATTCCTACAAGTATATGCAGCTGTTTCAAGCATGAGGTTTAAGGAAAGAATATTCAAGAAACACTGTAGCAAGCCTCTAAGTAGCTATGTTGGATACAAATTAATTTCAGCGTAGCAATCCTTGAGGGGTGCACTTGGCATTTTTCTTTGGCTTTGTTTTCAGCAAATAGCTGAGCCCCAAGCCCAGAAACTTTTTTTTTTTTTTCATTCTCAGCAGAGCAGCAGAGAAATTTCAGGAAGAAAGTCAAGGCAGGAAGACAATACAAATAAATCAAAGCAAAATGTTAAGGGGCTATGAGCAAGCTTTCTGGCAACAGGAAGAATTATTCAAATTCCAAAGTTTAACCCAACTGATGTAAACACAGAAATCATGGATAAAAAAGTATGATGCACTTAAAAAAAGTAAGTAAACGTTAAAATAAGCTAAATAATTCTGGCCAATATTTAAATAATACAGTTATGTCACCATAATGTAAGCTCCTTCAAATCCATGCATGTTTATAAGCAATGAACTTACCAAAAATTTTACTCTCCTATTTATTTTGTTGTATCCAGAGAAATCTTTTATTTGGAAGCTGAAAACATGGGGGATTTAATTAAGTAAATGCTGTTCAGAAGTTCACCTTCTCCCCGGCTCACTTCGTTTTACACATGGTGGTGCAGAAAGAAAATGAAGTAATAAAGCGAGGTTCAAAACTGCCCTGTAAACTCAACTTCGTAAAATTAACAATTAGCACACGACAAATATTCCTGAATGAAATGATAAATGTTGAGTCACTTCATTCGGTTATTTCAAAAATCATGCTCCCAGGCATTCTGTATGAAGGGGTGAGGGGCTGCAAGGACCCAAGCGACCCAAGGGGGTGGGCTTTCTGCTCCCACACCAAAGGCTTATCAGAGCAATTATTTTTTAAAAATCGGTTTCCTATATTGAGTGTTCACAAAATCTTGCATTTTGGGGGGAAAAAAAGATTCTACAGCTATAAGGAGGTTGAATGCCATCAAGTTAATCCAGGGAGGATAAGGTTCTTAATAGAAGATGTGTTTGAATCTACAGATTTCTGTAAGTGGGGAAAATAATTCCAAATGTAAGCAGAAATCAGAGTGCCCTATTTCCCCATAACCAAACTTTTTAAAAAAGTTTCAAGCTAAACTCTAAAATTATTATATGCCTTGTCTGGGTATAAATGTTGCTAGGAATGTATCTCAAGGGCATAATTCAAAATACAGAATAAAACATTATTTAGAGACTTCCTTTGTCATAGTTATCATAAGGAAAAATTGAAACCATCTAAATGTTTAATGACAGATAAATCATTAAATAAGGTGTGATGCATGCAAACAATAGGACCATGTAACACATTTA